CTGTATTTGGCTTTACAGTTGTTGAAGTTTTATTCATCGTATTGTGAACATCCTCACAAGAGAATTTCAAAATTGAAAATAAAGTAACAAAAAAGCCACTGAATCATACATTTTGGAGTTTTATAAAACCTAATATCCACAGGACTCTGTGTGCATGTCTATGTGTATATCTGTGTACACATATGCCCAAAGTAAATATTATAAAGAAAAAATACAGTAAATGTAGCCAAATAATAGGCTCAATAACCCACCTTGTATACAAAACCACTTTACCTTCTTATCAAGCACAAGTGGAAAGGAAACAACACTAAGCCTCACTGAAGAAGAAACAACAGAAGACTACTCTGGCTAACATCCAGGAAAGAATAGCTCAGAGCAGCATACTAATGATAGAAAAGGCCTTTATAATGTTTCTTTTCAGGACTACATTGTGGGATAGTCAGCCACTCCAACCCCACCTGCAGGCTGTCTTTTGGATGGACCCATATTTGAAATTTAAACACCAGCACATTTATTAACTGGTGAATATGTTTGTCACAGAACTAAGAACCATCATCTTTTACAACCAGAGTTCCTGCAATGGTCAGTGTGGTCATGCTCTGTGGAAATTCAATCTGTGCACAGTTCTCACAGGAAACCCCAAACTAAGTGCATTTTACTAGCTAGCATAGCTTAGAAGTTTCAAAGACATGGACCACTGCAGTGCAGTATGTCCAAAAAAATGGCTGCAATTGCAAAATGGTTTGGCAATTAAAAAAAAAAAAAAGCAAAATTAAAAAAGAAATGTTGACCACTAGTGAAAACTAACTTTCCATATTCAAAACCCCCCCAAAATGACACCAAATTTGCTAATCATATCAACCTGCCTAGCAGCATGCTTTGTAAATTGACCAGGTTATCACCAGAATAAACAAAACCCTTCTAATATTTTCCCATTCCACCTGCAATAATTCAGTCTCATCTGTGTTGAGTTTTAAACAGTGATCTTGCATCTTTGATACAATTGGATTTCATTAATATGTGGAAGACCCTTGGGAATGTTAAGTAATGCTCCAAAGCAGCAAGTGAAAACTAACAGTAATCACTACTTCCATTTTTTTCCCCAAATGGGAACATGTATTCATTATATTTGCTTGTATAATTTACTTAGAAGTTAATAATGGACAAAACTTAATGGACTGCAGCCCATAGTTAAACTGTTAAAAAAATTCACAAGTACTTCAGGCAAAAGTCTGGGTAGCAGTACTTTACACTTTACCTTAAGCTCTTAGAAGTCAACATGAAAACAAGAGTGTTGTGGGCTCTCTATTGAACACGCCAGCATTCCAGTTATAAGACTTCTAAATCTTACAACTGTTGATGAGAATGCCAAAGTTGACCTTAACAACAACTGCGTATACAGAGAGATGCTGGTTAGAACCTAAGCTGTATAAGGCTATGAAATTCAATATTAACACTTTGAAAAAAAAGCAGGAAATAAATAGAGAGTATTCATATATACCCATTTGTCTTCCCAGAAAAAGAAGTTTAAGAGTGGGCAATAACTAGATAGTTTTGTAAGGAAAAGATTTCATTTTGAAAATAATTTCACCCTTTTCATTGATGAGAAAGCACTGATAATTTAACTTTTCAAACCGCATGTTCTTTCACTGGTGGGTTTTCAGAAATGCACAAAAATGAACCTTCAGGAAATGGGTTTGAGCTTCTAAAGAACTACCTACAATTCTTGGTCATAGCATACAATGTTAATCTAAAATAAATAATGCATTGATGCCTCAAGGTTTTCTG